AACGATGAAGAAGGGTGTGAAGAGATTGGGTTTTAAGTTTAGTCGACACGTAGAGAATCCAACCACCTAGTAAAACTAGACCTTACTGTTTTTAAGGAACATTTGTTGGTCCTCCAAAGAAGCAAAACAACCGAGTTACCTATCGCATCCAAACTTAAATCCATCATAAATCATGAATTCACGTCCATTTTTAATTTAAAAATTATATTTAATTAATAATAAATTATTTATATTTATATATTTAAAATTTATTTTATCTTTTATTAATATAAAATCCATGATATCTTAACTCATTTAATTATAACATTAGCTCTTTACACTCACATTTATAAAAATTCGAATCTATTTTGATAATATCATATATGAAAACTTAAACTCAACTTTGTACAATTTCAAAACTCTAAAAATAAAATTTAAAAAAACTTATAAATCATGAATTCACGTTCTCAACTTAAAACACATGTTTGATAAATAAAGAAAGATCCATATTTATATATTTTAAACTCATTTTACTGATAAGAGATTCATAACAAATCTACCTTCAAAAAGTTAAACTTGTTCTCACCTTGTATACTTTTGCTTCTTTTGTTAAGATTTCATCTTGATCACGGTTTTAACAAATTGAGGAGATTGGATTTCACTCATTTTTGTTTTTATCTAAAATAAAAAAAAATAAATATTAATTTCAAATAAGGTATGAAAAGATAATACCAAAGATTATGTCATGTCAATAAATATCTTGTGATGCCAATAAATATTATATGAACTAAAGTTCGTTACGTTTCACAATCTTTTTCATCTTTTTTTAATAAGTATTAATAAAAATTTCAATCAGTACGATTTAACTTAACTCAAATGGTAAAAATGAGATATATTGTGTTTGGGTGAAGTTATTATAATATTTTTTTCATTAACTTTTTTTTTAAAATATCGTATCTTATCGTAATGATATAAAAGGAGTATAAATTGACAAAAGGAGGAGTTTTAATCTAAAGGAAGCACTTAGCATTGTAGACCCTAAGACCAAATTCCAATGCTTCCTAGTAGTTTCCTACCATTCATTTATGGACATTGTCTTTAATTATTAAAATAATTAATTAATTAGGCTAAAAAATTATAATAATTAATAGATTTTTGGTGCAATTTCTTCATCTTTTAGCCATAAATATATCATCCAATCTTTTCTAGTAAGCATTAATAAATATCTCAATCGGTTCAAGTTCGGTTTAACTTAAATCGAAACGAGATCGTAATTTCGATTTTCTTTCTCTTAAAATTTCTTATACTTATCATAAAATCATAGAATAAAAAAAGAGTCCAAACCCATAAGAAAAACCCTTTATTCTTTATAAATTGATGAGAGGAGGAGCTTCATCGTGTACAAATTGTCTAGCATATCTTCTTCATTATTATTATTATTTATTTATTTATTTATAGATCCTAAAGAATAAAATTTAGCAATTCCTATCCGTTCATATTTGGAGACTCTATGCCCCTTATTCCCACTAATTATTATTAACATTAAAAAAAAGGGGAAAATTAAACCACTTTTAATCAAAAGGAATCATCAGCCAATTTTGTTCATGATTTTTGGCTATGGAAAAAAGTAGATGTTATTCTGCCTAGTTGCTTTCATGATTTAGGGTTTGAAACTTGGAATCAATGGGTGGAATTGTTCATTTTGACTAAGAAATAATTAGTCATTGGGCAATACATCAAAGTGAGTGTAGCTTTTAATAAGAATATTCTTGACTTTTACATTATTTAGATTAATTATTACTCTCTTTTTGAAAATCGAACAACTTAGTTTTTAATTTGGGTAACACAATCAAATGGGGCACTCTCACTAGGCTTAGAAACAAATTTAAGCCCAAGAGTTGAGCAATGGGGCCAGACAACTATGGCATGTTTGCATTTCACTGTGGCAAACCAGAATGGGAAGATCCAATCAAAGGGAAGTAACAAAGGAACCAAAGGCAAATAAATTATATATAGTTCATCTTTTCATTCTTTGAAATCCTATATATTAAGTAATTATTCAAAGAATATAATTATAGCTTTAAAAGATCCTATTATTGCTATAGTACAGTCAATGAAGAAGTTTAATTGAACCCAGTATCTTAATTAATTACTGATTTTTTTTATCCTTTTTATTAATTTATTTATTTTTGTATAATACAAAGTTAACATCAGCTTGGGACTTTTCAGTGTCAGGCTTTCATATGGGAACTCGAAATACTACTCAACTAGGAATTGGATTCTTTACAATGCCTGGAATTTAGTCCATTAGCCGTAGATAACCTCTGCATGCAAATGAGTTTGATTATTACGGTAAGAGTCTGACAAAGATAGCATTGGTGTTTCCAAAGGCATTGTCGATTTGGTTCTCTTCTTTCAGGTTTTGTTTCTAACTTTCATGTTTTTATTCTTTTGAAGCAAAGTTTCATGGCCATGATTTTTCTTTTGTTTTTTTGTGTTTTTTTCTGGTTGTGGGTGTTTTTTTTTTCTTTGGTTTTACACGAAAATGATTAGAGTTTTTGCATTCTTTGCTTTTCTAATGGAGTTTGCATGGATGAGAATCATCAATCTAATGCCTCTTTGTTGGTTCTCTCAAGTTTTCTGAACTTTCTTTGCTTGGAATTGTGGTCTGGTGCAGATTTTGATGTATGAGAGATAAATTTTACTATTGGGAAGTTATGTTGCGTAATGTGGATTGAACAGCATTATGTTATTCATCCATGATTTGTATCAATTAGGAGAGCTTTGATCTCGAGCTGAACAAGTTATTGGATTTTAGATTCAAACTCTAAACTTTTCTGTTGGTGGTTTTTCTCTTGCAGGTTGCTTTTGAACTTGCCATCAAGGTTCACAGCAGAGAAAATGGTGGAAGGTGGTGTCAAAAAAGCAGACAAGACAGAGTTCACTGAGTGCTGGAAGACAACATGGAAGACCCCTTACATTATGAGGCTTGCGCTGTCAGCTGGGATTGGAGGCCTCCTGTTTGGTTATGACACAGGTAACATGAGGTCTATTCTACAGAATTAATGATCTTTAGTCATACACTTAGAATTTTGTTAATTAATTTGTAACCATTGTTGGTATACAGGAGTGATTTCTGGTGCCTTGCTCTATATCCGCGAGGACTTCCAACAAGTTGACAGGAAAACATGGTTACAGGTTAGATACTGATTCATGTTAACAAAAAAGTAGAAGGTAGAAAGATAAGAGTGTTCATCACCATTGCTGATTTTCCCTTGCTGATTCAATGTTTTATGATGTGTTGATTTGCAGGAAACCATTGTGAGTATGGCTGTAGCAGGTGCCATTGCTGGTGCTGCGTTTGGAGGATGGATAAACGACAGGTTTGGCAGGAAAAAATCAATTTTGGGTGCTGATGTGCTATTTGCTGTGGGTGCCATAATTATGGCTGTAGCTCAAGCTCCGTGGGTAATTATTCTTGGAAGGTTTTTCGTTGGTTTAGGAGTTGGCATGGCTTCAATGACTGCCCCTCTTTATATTTCAGAAGCTTCCCCTGCTCGAATTCGAGGTGCACTAGTTAGCACAAATGGTTTGCTAATTACAGGAGGGCAGTTTCTGTCTTACCTTATCAACCTGGCCTTCACTAAGGTAAGTACTGTAATCACTTTGAATATTATTTTTTCTTATTATTTAAAGTTTAAGTACATTGGAAGGTTTGATTGAACAGTCTATGCAGTTTCTCCAATGGAAAACATTAATACCCAATTTACTGTGAAATTGTGTATCAGACTAGTTGGACTTGGCGTTGGATGCTTGGAATCGCCGCTGTTCCAGCCTTGGTTCAATTCATCTTGATGCTATCTCTTCCTGAGTCTCCTAGATGGCTTTACAGACGGGTTAAAACCTTTCCCCTAATTGATGCAATCTTGAAACTTTTGTTGAAGGAATTGTTGCTAAGTTTGTATAAAGTAATAATAATAATAATAATATTGATTTTTGTTATGTTCAGGACAAGGTAGAAGAAGCCAGGTCCATCCTAGAGAGAATATTTCCTGCTGATGAAGTTGATGA